TCGCGAACGGTATGTCGTATGACCACCAAATTTTCAGAGAATGGTGTACTGGTAAAAATTTATCATATATACAAATTTATGTCGTTATGATGTAATATGACGTCATTATGACGTCATTAACGTGATTTTATTGGCCAAAACCGTCGAAATAGGTTTTTTCCCTTAAAACTAAATGGTATTCAACATAACTGTATCAAAAGTGTTTATGACAGAATATTATGGTGTACTAAGTCTTATGTTGCCCATAGCAACACTGATGACGTCATAAAATGACGTCATGCATATTTAAGATATCCGCCATCTTGGATCATCAATCTTGAATTTTCAAAAATAGTTTTTTTTCATGATCAACCCTGAAATACATCGTAAACATACTAAAGACCTTCATTTAAACCTTTTTTTGGAAAAAGATTTGGAAGTATTGATGAAATTTTAATGAAAATAACCTGTATATACCTGTTCTAATGATATGGTCCGCCATCCTGGATTTTGGCCAATGACGTCATCAAATTAGCATACATTATGCATATTTAATGATAAGATTTACATAAAATTATATGGGATGTTATTAATATTAGAAACCATGAGTAACTTTGACATAAAACCCATAAAATTCTAGTGTTGAAACAAAAAGTACTAAATTTAGCAAAAAATGCCTGTCAGAAACCCGTTGCCATGGCAACACAAAAAATTATTATCTTATTCCAATGATAGAGAATTGTTGCCAACAATATTCTAGGAAAAGTCACCAAGTTTGGCCGTTTTACGGCTAGCCGTTCAGACGCTAGGTGACATCAAAAGTTGCCGCGGGCACTTTTAGCCCCCCCCCGGTCCTACGGTGGGTTAATACAGTTAACCCAATAAAATCTCAACAGTCAATCAGCAAGAGGAATAGGGTAAAGCAGCTTATTTGGTTTAAATATTCTAACATTAATTCATTAAAAAATAGCAAGGTACATAGAAATGTAGGTTATATGACAGGTTCCTACCGATTTCTAACAAAAAAGACTTCTTTTCCTGGCCAATATGAAAAAAAGGATTATTTCTATTATAAGTATGTATATATATTACATTACCTATAACGTAGCCAAAAAGTCAAAAGAAAACCATTTTAAAAGCCTGCAACAAGAAAATGAAATGACTCCATGGGGTATTTGTCCACTCTACCTTCATGCCAAACCCCATGTTCTTTGGCCCCAAAATGAAAACATTGAATCCATTTAACGAAATGGCAGGAGAATGAGAAGAAGCATGAGAGAAAATAATATGAAAATAAAAACGGAACCTTAAAAAACAGAGTTAACAGAAGACTAACATAAACTGAACTTAAAATCGCATTAATAATCAAAATAATAGAAATCAATTATTCAAATAATACAACAGTAATACCATCATATCTGGGATTCTGAGGTGGGCAACTGATGACCATTGCACTTCCCCACACGCCAACAGGTAATCCAAACTTACACCCCTTTACCTCCGCCCCAAAACACGGTGGTCAAAATTGGGCCCCGATCTCCCCACCTGCAATAGAACCCGAACCGTGTTCGATCTGACGTAATTCGAACAGAACGGTTTTCGAAATTGGGTCACCCGCGGTCATTTAGTTTAGTCTTCCGGTCCCTTTTTACATGTGTACCTCCTAACAGAAAAAAAATCACCTTTAAACAAATATAAACCATTTCCTGGACAACTACATGTCTGCCTTCATTTTGTAGTGGGCTGAAACATGAAACGAAGCTACTGCCGTCATGGTGGGTGACCTTGAAGATCGCAATACCTGTACTCGCCAGCGTAAATAACCACTAGTCAATTTCATGCCGTATGACATTTGTCTAAAACCCGTTTCAGATTGGAAGCATGAAGAGCCCTACATATGTCATTGGCGGCTCAAAATGACCGTAACAGGTTTTTCCAAAATCGTGTCCAAGGGATTTTCGAGAAATGACCTTGGTTTTGAATTATGAACAATTGAGTGCAAAAAATGTAAAAAAAAATTGCGTTTTTTTTTCACATTTATGTCGACAAAAACTATACTTAAAATCAGAAATAAAAAAAAAATTCCTAAGACACGATTTTTGATCTTATTCCTAGTGGTTGAAAAATATAAAAATCGGGGATTTTGGGTAACATACGTAGCCAATCTTAAACGGTGTTTGCCTAAAAACATGACTCGGACCAAACTAAAGCAATCTGATTTTCTACCCTTCTGACGAAGGTAACTACTGTTATTATAATTTTATACCAAATTCAAACTTTTCATGACTGCTAGCTACTTGAGAATTCAAGACACGAAATACCTCTGTTATCTTCCTGTGGTGAAGCGTGAGGTCCATACATTTGGTTGTGAAGCAAGCCGACGACTTTCCGGCCCACAGTTACTTGCCGTCTGTCCGTCCCTTCACCGGATGGTTGTTCATCATTACTGTTTGTCTGTTGTAGAGACAACTGTCGGTTGATTTCATCTTTGTCGACGTAATTGTACATGTGGGTGTCAGGATCGTTATCGTCCCCATTGCTTGGTGTGAACTCTGCACCTGTAAAACGTTCAGCAAACACACGATCATGATTTGTCCCTTTCAGACATTTAAGGTGATTCCTAATTTCGAATTTGCATTAATAATGAAGCCATGTTTTTCGAAATGCAAACGGTAGGAATTTCACACGCAAATTGTAATTCAGAAAACATAAATTAAAATAGATTATGGCCATTATGACCTTATTTCCATAATCAATGAGACAAATCCAATGTTAATAATGAGAAACATTTACAAAATTACTATATATTTCACGGAGGCATAAGATATTGTTGGTACATATAGCGACTGAGTTTGTCTCGAACAGCAAAAAGTAATCCTGGCAGGTTTCCTGCCGTCTGTTGTTACCATATATATGATATATTGAGCAAAAGAAATAAAGTACCATGACGTGTGTCCATACTAGAGTGTATCATACCTGTACTGAAGTCTTGGTGAGGAAGTGGTGGCAACGGGCGACGAGCTTTGTTGTCTCCACTTTGCGCCATCTGACGTGGAGCTTTTTCCGTTGTGCTCATCGTCGACCATTCCAAGCAAGGAATCCCGTGATCCTAAAAATTTCGAAGGCCCTACAACGCTTTGTAGATCAAACAAAAAGGTTTCTACTCCATATAAATGATTAAATTCAGTTGGGAAAAGACAACAAGCCACAAGGGAGAGAAGCGAATGTCTTGAAATAAATTCTAAAAATGTTCGATGATCATGAGGAAGCAACACCGTAGTGAAACAGTGGCTAAAACATCGTACCTAGACTTATTAAGTAAAACAAATAACTAATTCATAATTTAGGCTAACTATGAATAATTCTATGTGCTTATGAAATGGCCTTAGAATAATATATAGAAGTCTACTGTCTGAAATAAGAGGCACAAAGATCAGACGACTGAGGTAAAACTGCTTAGAACATAACAAAATGTACAATGAACGTTAGTGGTATGGTTGTGCGCACCATAAAGTGTGTTCAATCAATTGGAGGCCCCCAAATGAAGTGAATATAGTTTAGCACTAGGCGCAGGCATATGAAAATACATGCGGGGGTGTATACATGTAGACTGTTCAATATGCACTAGGGAGAGGCCGAATTTCTTATTATTAGTCTACCGGTCTACCTATCGTAAACACGTCAAGCTGGGCCCCCTTAAAACACAGCCATTGTAGGCTGAGTAATTTTTCCAAAAGCCATACTGGTGTGCATATAGAACATTACTAGTTTCTAGGTGCGTCAAAATTATTTTATACACGACTTTTTCCAGAATCTTTGAAAATAGGAGCAAAATGGATATGGGTCGATAGTTTGTAAATATAGATGGGTATCCAGACGTATAAAGAGGAATAACATTGCGGTGGTCTAAAACGACCTCAAAAATCCCCACTCGTAGCTAATTAATATTAATGAAAATAAGATGTCAATCACACTTGTCACCATTGGCAACTGTCCATGATTGGTTGACACTTTTGTGGGCCGGCTCTAGGAATGTTTACCTTGCTGTTTGCCCCCCCCTGTGAATTTTTCTAATGCCTTTAGGTGTTGCTTTACGCACAAATTAAAAAAAAATGAGTTTTGAAGGTAAAAGGTCAACGACCGAAAATGACATTGGCACATGGGCCGGGCGTTGGCGCCAGTGAAGCTCCGCGTTAGCTTGTCACTTCTTTATCTTTACCTAGTTTCATAACCAACATATCGATTTTGTAGGTTCCTATTTTAGTTTTTCTGTAGGATTGCCCGGTCGTGAGTTTTTTTGTGAAATATTCGGGCCCGCTGCTGGGTGTTATGGAGGCATGCCGGCCAGACACTTAGTGGGCGGGGCCTATTCACATAGCAACGGGGATTTTTGCATAGTGACCAGACCACCGTGGTGATACATAACATAACATAACATAACATAACATAACATAACATAACATAACATAACATAACATAATAAAATGTAACTTAAGTATAATCAAAGGGTAGTTGTGATAAAAAACGGAACTGACTGGTATAGTACAGAAAACAAACTAAATAAATATGACAAATGATATAAATGATCATGGAACTGAATTTGCATATCAATGTCTATAAACAAATTGGAAAATTAACAACAAAGAAACCATATTAACTGATGAGTGAAGAAAAGGTGGTCTTAAGGACACTGAGTGTTCTTGCATTTCTGACATGAGGAGGAAGTGAATTCCAGAGGGCTGCACCGGAAAAAGAAAGCAATCTCCTTTTGTACAGCAAGCGAGATTTTGGTAGCTGAAGTCCCCCCTGTGTGCTTAGTCGGGTATTGTGTGTGTGTGTGTGTACCGGTGGATGTTGTACATAGTTGAGAAATGTGTGGAGGTGGCATTTCATCAAGTGCCTTGAACATAAAAGTAGCCTTGGGTCGTTTGTGGTGCTGGGCTACCGAAGTCCAGCCTAACAAGTTGCACTCGAGGTGTAGCGGTCACACCCTAATACTACCCTGCCCGCTCTGTTTTGCAGCTTTTGTAATTTGTCTACATGCCTCTTACCTCCCTGGTCCCAAACAGTGCTGCAATATTCTGCACGAACAACTATCAAAGGGGTGCTAGTGTAACGGAAATGAAAAGAAGCCTACATTGGGGGTCGCTGGAAGACAGACGTAGAATGTCCAGACTGTGCATGATGTACAAAATGACTAATAAACTGGTGGACGTACCAACCACTAAGTATCTGATACCAGCCCAGAAAAGAGCAAGAAACGGTCATGCCTTCAAATATTAGAGTTATCAACCAAGAATTGAGGTATTCAAAAACTCGTATTTCCCCAGAACTATCGTATACTGAAATTCGTTGCCACCAAGCACAGTTGGGGCATCACCACTAGAAAGCTTTAAACAACTCCTGCAATCAAATGTGCAAAGATTAAGTGTAACAAGTCGTACGGTGTTATATAGCTAGCTGCCGCCGCGCCGCGTGCCTGCGAAGCTGGTGTGTTACGCCGAAGGGTGTTTATACCGGCTATACCGATACAGATACAGAATATAAGATGTGGGGGAGGAACAATGTGTTGTATATTGTCAATAGGGAACGTTTGTCCAAGTATAGTCGCAAACACTTCATTATTCAAATTATTTGAGAATGCTTCTTTGACACATGAAGAAAGTGGTCGTTCCAGAGTAGGGCATTGGGTAGCCTGCTGTGCAGGCCCCGCGGCGGTGGGGAAGAGTTTTTATAATGCCTTAAAAACTCTTCCCCACCGCCGCGGGGCCTGCACAGGAGGCTAGGCATTGTCAAGCACAATACCCAGGTACTTGAACGTATCCACTTGCTCCAATTTTGTCCCGGTTAGCGTAAGTTGTACGCGCTGGTCAACAACTCTTGCGATTAGAAAACAATAAATTAAAATAGATTATGGTCATTATGATCATAGACTGCCAAAGAAGAAGGTAATTGCGACCTCATTTCCATAATCAATGAGACAAATACAAAAAAAAGAAAAACATTTACTAAATGTTACATATTTCATGGAGATATGGGATCTCTGAATTCTTGTCGGTACATGCAGAGACTGAGCTTGTCTTGATCAGTAAATGGTAATCCTGTCAGGTTCCCTGCCGGCTATATTGTTACAATAGGAAACGCTTATGATATATTGAGCAACAGAAATAGAGTACCATGGCGTGTGTCTGTACTAGAGTGTATCCTACCTGTCCTGAAGTCTTGGTGAGGAAGTGCTGGCAACGGACGACGAGCTTTGTTGTCTCCACTGTGCGCCATCTGACGTGGAGCTTTTTCCGTTGTACTCATCGTCGACCATTCCAAGCAAGGTATCCCGTGATCCAAGAATTTCTCAGTCTCTACAACGCTTTGAAGATTAAACAAAAACGTTTTTACTACATATAAATGCTTATATTCAGTTGGAAAAGGGTAACGAACCGATAGAGAGAGACGCGAAAATGGCCCGATATAAATTCTTAAAAATGCCGCATGTCGAATGGTCAAGAGGGACCTTCACCGTAGTGAAACAGGTTGGTTCTAAGCGTTCTGAGCAGAGCTGCATCATCCGTAGACGTATTAGGTAAACCTGGTAAATAATTCATAATTAAGGCGAAATATGAATTATTCTATGTGCTTTGAAAATGACCTTATAGAAGTCTACTATAGTCTTACAAAGAGGCACAAAGACCACACGACTGAGGTAAAAATGCTTAGAACATCAATGAGAGCGCTGATGTCATCCATAAAATTACCTGCTGTGGCCTTAGTTTGATAGGATTTGTCTTTTGGCGTAAACAAAACTTAGCCAATGATTGGTCTGTTTTGCGTATCCATTGGTAGATGCGGGTGTTTAAAAACATAGCAAGCTGTCGAGTCCACTAACTTTCTTCCTTGGGGGACACCACAGGTTTTATTTTTCTTGGAAGAAGTACAGTTTCCACTGGATACCTATTGCTTTCTGTTTAAGAGGTCGTCTGACAGCCAGGCAATGACAGAATCTTTAAACCACAAGTCTTTAATTTATTAAGAAGTATACTGTGATCAACCGTATCGAACGCTTTATATAAATCGAGAAATATTCCGACGATGAACTCATTATTCTCCAGGGCCGACGTGATTTTATCAATAAGCTGTAAGAGGGCCTTATAAATTGAGTAATTTTTCCGAAAGCCATGTGCATATAAAACATCACTAGTATCTAGGTGTGTCAAAATTATTTTATACACTCCCTTTTCCAGAATGTTTGAAAATAGGGGCAAAATAGATATGGGTCGATAGTTTGTACATGTATAAAGAAGAATAACCTTGGCTATTGTTAGCCCATTTGGGACTTTTCCAGTTTAAAGGAAAGTTTTAGACATGAGTAATAGGGTCGACAATATTTGGAACGACCCATGACAAGGACCTGCTTTATTCAAGATGTTGATGGTTTCCTTGATTTTATTGGCGCTGCGCACTTAAAAATGGCTTATGGATAAGAAAACATTTTGCATATACGATAGGGGAGAACGGCCTATTCTGGCCTATTTCTATTGCCAATGACGGACCCATATTTACAAAAAAATAATTGAATTTGTTAACTTTAACATTCTGATTTGACACCACTTGTCTTCTTCTCCATCCAGAAACTTTCAAGGAAGAACGAGGCAGCCATTTTTCTATTAAAAAGTTCGTTTATGATTTTCCACGTATTTCGTATATTAGTTGTTGCAGTTGCGAACCTATCCTGATAATATTGCCTCTTGGACATTTCTGACCAAAGCGTCATGACGCAGACTTGACAGCATGCTAGATTAAGATTTAAAACCAACTGATTACATTATTAATGTCAACTTAAACTGAAGACAACATACGGGTGGCGTCGGGTGGTGTAGTGGTTAGAACAATAGACTGTGAACCGGTAGACCCGGGTTCGATTCCGAGTCGTACCCGGTACATGTCTGAACATGCGCCCCGACGTTGTGCCCTTGGGAAAGGCACTTTACACGAATTTCCTCACTCCACCCAGGTGTGAATGGGTACCTAACTTCGGTTGGGGAAAGTCGTATTGAGGTCATCTTGTGGCGCCGAATGGCAGCCGCACAGACCCTTGCGACTGTGTGTATCATTTGTATTATTTGAATGTTGTAATTGTTGTGATTTGTATTGATTATTGTGTGATACCCTGCATCAATTCAGCCGTAAGGCTGCGACTGCATGGGTACTGTTTGGACAATAAAAACCATTTATTTATACATACCTATGACTATGACTGTTGTTAACTTCAAACAGATGTCAGAAAAAAATATAGTAATGTTTTGAAACTCGCCACACACTCTATATGATCTGGGCGCTCAATTATTTGCGTGCCAGAAAAGAGGTCAGATACAATCTCGGCTCAAAGCATCTGCTTGATGACCGCATACGTGTGAGGTTTTAAAACTGCGTGACCGGCCTCTCCTTCAGCCATTTGGCGATGCCCGGATTGGATGAGACGTTCCCCATGACTTTGTTCAGGTTGACGTAACCTTGGAGATGGTCCCCCTGGTTGAAACCGGAAATGACGCCGAGGAAGGCGAAGAAATTGACGTCAGCCCAGGTTAACTGTAGGGGTGAGGGCAAAAATTAGAAAGGACGTTATGTTGTGTGTGAAAATGCAGGTAGACTTATTTTCATATTGATTGTTTTCATTATCTTTTATTAATTGAAATTCTTTTTTTTTTGTGGACTTTGTATAATATACCAGGTGCATATACCCTACCCAACCTGTGATGGTAGATCATTTATTATTCCCACTTCTACATAACAAGCACATGTCAATCTGCACCAAGTAGAAATAAAGAGCAATAAACAAGCAAAAACGTTAAGTTTCGTGTAATAAGGTCACGTGTCTGTTACCGTAACTCTCGCGAGATTATGTTCCGAAGTTATTGGCCATTCATTATCCTGATGAAGGCGACAATGGTCGCTGAAAATCTATCCCTGTGTAATCCTTGGGTTGGAATAACGTTAGGCATTTTACTATGATTACTACCAACACAGATGAAGTTTTATGATGAAAACATACCGAGTCCCCCACGAAATATCCCTCCGCGCTCGCCAGCTTTTCAAACAGGTCAAAGAACGACGGCAGGGTTTTTTCTGTCATCTCCTTCTTCATTTCTTCCTGCAGGAAAAAAAACGAGATTCGAATTTCAACTACACGCTATAAAAGGCCCTGTTCAGACGAAAGCGCTGAAAGTACATTAGATTCAGATTCCACCAAAGCTGGACAGGGCCTGGAGAGGATCCTGTTGCATTGAGCGCCCCAACACGTCTGTATATATGTCAATATTACTAACACAGTGACATCACTTATCCTTTGCACCCACACAAAATAAGTAATCCATGTTCTCTTCAATATCATCATTTCCCCTATGTTTTCATGTAACTAACCCATGCGCAATCTACTAATTAGCCCAGTAATGGGGGATGATTAGCAGTAAAAAGAAGATATGGGTAGAAATATAATGCTAAAGCAAGTTCATGTTTACAAAAACGATAAAGCATTATCTACAAATGTCTTTTAAGAAAAGAAAGTAGGTTCTAAAATGCTTAAAAGCATTTTTGAACCTACCTTCTTATTTTCGTCTTTTTCCGTGAAGAGAGGCATCAACTTCATCCCAAGGTCATCCAGCCCGTCACAGATCATGTCTGCCCGGGCCTGGTTCAGGTGGGTCTTCCCTGCCATACCTGCAAACAACGGAAGGGGGCGCTTCACATCTGAACAGGACTCTTTACTTGTATATAGCATATAGAGAGCATAGGCTAGGGGTCTACATAAAAAAATGATTCAACTTCTAATCGCAGGGGTCTTATGTTTGTAGTATTCCTATTTGGATTTCTCGCGTAGAAAAGTTATTTTGGCCTACATAATGCCGGATAGAGGGGGTTAGGTTTGGGATGTCCACTAGCCTCTACCTATTTAGAGGCGGCTAGAAAGAGTAAACACTGGCCACATTGACAGCTAACATGTTAGTAATACTAGTACTTCGCTAAGGGATACAGTTAACCGCTTCTCGAAACCTGGTAGATACTAATTTAGACATACATAATGACCATTAGAGGGGGGGGATGCTTAATAGACTCTACCATTAGCCTCTACCAGGTTTCGGAACAGCATACTAGGGCAGTTAGTCTGCTATAAAATGCAGTTTGCGCTCCGTCTAAAGCCTGGTAGAGGCTAAGAGGTTTACGAAGTCCGCCGTGTATTTGTTGGCACCCAAAATATTCTGCAGTGTCACGCACGATAATTAGAGTGCTACGACAACCCCCCACCCCCACGGCCCACACAAAGGAACAGCCAGATGCAGTTGAAATACGTGACCCTGAATGACCTTGAATACGTGTACATTGTGTGGTTACAGTTCATGACTAGTGTAAATATAAGCAGGGGACAAATTCAGATCACTTTCTTCCACTCCCAAACAATATCTTAAACCACAAATTCATAACACATTATAGAATGGACACAGTTACCATTGTTACACACAATTAATGTAAAGTTGTCATATATAAGATAAAAAAGGATGCCAATGAAATGTATTAGTTTCTCAATCCATGACCTGGCGATAAGAATATCTAACATGGTTTAAAGCTTTTTTTTTTTTTTTTTTTTACTTTTGTTGTTTTACGTACCGGCTTCTTTGGCGATCAGCCTCCCGATGGCCTTCCCCTGACAGATCATGGTTCCGTCCACTTCTAGGATAGGCAGTTGACCCATGGGAGTTTCTGGTGGAAAATTACACATAACATCCTCCAGTTTAATTCCGGCCTACAGTTAAATTTTGGAATTATCCCCATATCTCAGCAACCGTGCGTAAACAGAACCGTAAGTAAAAATAATGTAAGAACTAAAACGGGAACAAAATGATTACCTTCGCATATGGTCTACTCTGTTAATTACCTCCGGGGAAGGAGATATCCTTCCGCGAGGAGGTTTTACTATTGTTCGAAACATTTCTGTCAGCAGCTGTTTCTCGCGATCGGCTGGACGGATTTGTCTGTGGTTCGGTATACGTATTGCTGTTGGGCTGCAGATGATGCAGAACGTTTTTGTTTAATTGTATATGTGTTTATGGGCGTGGAAATAAAAGGTTTTTAAGTGCTCCGGACACCCCCGCCATGCTGAAAATGGAATTTACCATGTTGTTAAGGAATGGGGAGGTTTCAGTTTTGGGTCTTACCATTTAAAAGGGGTCAAACAGAGGGGTGTCTGCTTCCGATATGTATTTTGAAATATTATCGCAGTTGTATCTCGCGTTGGGGTAGACTGGACTCGGTGTATGTTCTTCTAATGGGCTGTAGATGGTGCAGGTTTT